TGCCCTGGGTCAGTGACTGGGCCACCCAAGCCCGGCTGAGGGCCGCCCTGTCCCGTCACCCCTGGGCCCATGTGTCACTGGCGCCCAGACCCTCGGCCAATTAGTGGCCAGCAGCCGGGCTCATTAGTGCCGGCTGACATCTGGCGGCCAGACCCTGCTTGCTGGGGGCCTGGTCCGGTGGCCGCCGGCAACCGAAGGGACAGGCAACTGCGGATGGGAAGATGGGCACTGCCATCGCACGAGAGAGAGAGAGAGGTGTGTGTGTGTGTGTGTGTGTGTGTTCGCGCGTGCAAGGAGCCCTGCCCGTCCAGGACCACGGTGCGCCCAGCATCTTCCGCCTCTGTGCCCCCGCGTTTCCAGAGGAGCCCAAAGCCCTGAGCATCTTCCGGTAGCCTGGCCTTTTAAATCTCTAAGATGGAGCTTGTATCACCTACCCTCCCATCCATTCTTTCATCCACCATCTATCTACTCATGAGTCATCTGTCCATGCACCCACTTATTCATCCATCCGCCCACCCACCCACTATCCATCCATCCATCCATCCATCCACTCACCCACCCACCCAACCACTCCTTCACAAATCCTTTCATCCATCACCCTTCCACCCACCCACCTATTCATCCGTCCATCATCCACCCATCCTTCTATTTATCCGTCTACCCACCCAGCCACCCAGCCACTCACTCACCTACTCACCCACTCATCCTTTCATCCACCCACTCACCCATCCACTTATCCACCCACTCACCCATCTAACTACCCAACCTTCTGTTCAGTTGTCTTCTCCTTCTCTCGCCCTTCCTCTCACCCACCTTCCCTCTCTTAGTGGCTGGCATGAGCGTCCTCTCTTGTGGAGGCCGACGTACTCGGATGTTCAACCTTGAGGGTGGTTGGCACCGTCACCCTTTCACTGTGAGGGGTCGACGGTGCTATCTGTGGCCCTTTGGGCTGAAGTTCAGGGCCGTGGGCCTCCGAAGGCACTGGGAGGACGGCCCAGGCTTCCCTCCAGCCCCCGGTGGTTCCTTGGGGGGCAGCAGCGTCACCCAGTCTCCGCGCGGCCTCTTCCTGTGCGTGCAGCCCC